AACTCAACCTCTTACATTGAGATGAAATCTATAGAAAATCTAACATAAATTTTCTAAGAAAACATAAACAAGGAGACTCTCCCTTTACATATAAAGAAAGCCTATTAGAATAATTGACTATATTCTATGAATATGATTAATCTAATTGTCCAATTGTAAGCTGGATATGTTTTCCTCATCTTTGCTAAATCTGATCATCTTCAGTTGTTGGCTTTTCTGTGTTTTTCACCTTTCTTGCTAGTTGTGGTTGTAGTAATACAAAACTACTACTTGATATTGCATCTTCTTACTGCCTGCTACCTTTTAACCTGCATCAACATATACCATACAATACAAATATATGATATAGTCTATAGACTGGACCAGTCAAGGAGGTTGTTTAATCCTCCTCATTTTCCTGTGTCTGAAGTTTTGCACACCCATTTTCTCCAGAAAATAACTTCCTTTTGCATCATGTTGAAGCTGGTTATAAGTGTAATAATGTTGTATGATGTCCTGATTATGACTATGTTTGGCTAGTATATCTGTTGTATTGTTAGATTTCCTGTAAACATGTACACAAGAAAATACAGTACATTGATTAGTAAGTAATTGAAGGTCTTTAATAAACCTTTGTATTCTCCAAGGAGGCTTATCCTTTTGTAATAACCATTTTGTCAATAACTCTGAATCAACTTCAAGAATAATATTTCTAAAACCATGTTGAATGCACCGATTCAGTCCATATGTAGCAGCTTGTACCTCTGCCTGATTGTTTGAGCCTTCTCCAAAGGGAATACAGAAGGCATATATGATATTACCATAATCATTCCTAAGAATGCTACCCCCTCCAATCTTTCCTGGATTATGCAGAGCACTACCATTTGTATTCAATTTATATTTGGTAGTAGGAGGTGGTTTCCAGGTGACTATTTTAACCTTTATACTATGTTTGCATTTTTCAAGTAAATCTACCAGATCAGTTCATTTCCCTGGCCATTGAATATTCGGATAAACAGAATATAGAAACAGAAGAACATCCTTATGAATAAAGTATTTGACTTTAAAGCTACTGAAACTCTTTCCTCCATATTTAACAGAACATCTATTTTTCCACAGGTTCCAGCTAATCACAATAGGTAATATTCTGATAATATCTCTATGTGCCTCATTTTTCCCTTTGGTGCTACACCAATGAATTAACCTATTACTCAAAGTAGTCTGCTAAATATTGATTCCCATAGTATTGGCAAAGTAATTCCATATATGTTGTGCAAAATGTCCTTGCATGAAAATATGTTCTATATCATTCCAACCTTGATTCCTACAACAGTAGCACTTAGCAGTTTCCTCTCCAAAGTTTGTCATATTTTCATTAGTTGGTAACTTAGTTTTAAAGCTCTCCAAAGAAGAAATGACATTTTAAAAGGCACCTTTTTGTGCCCGTTGTGTTGAATTAGAATTCAAAAATTGTTGGTATCCATGTTTCAACAATCGATCAGAATGAGTAGAAAGAGAATTTATTTTTATTAAAAACCTTTATTCATGAGAGAATATATAATTAACCTGAGTAAATCGTAGAAGGTAAAATAATTGGGAAAAAAAAGAATATGAGATAAGCGTGGTTGTGGCTGATTATTTCTTTTTTAAAAAAATTATAAAATCTAGTTTTGAAAAAAAAACTAGGAAAAATGCATAATTACCTCTCAACCTATGCCCCAAATCTTATAGACACACATTTATAATATAATAAGGTCTTATTACCCCCTAAACTTATTTTATAAGTAATTTTCTAACCCTTTTCGTCCTACGTGGCACTAGCTTGAAAAAAAGAAAGTCAAACAACGTTTGGCCCACAAGATAGTGCCACGTAGCCGAGAAGGGGTAGGAAATTATTAATAAAATAAGTTCAGAGGGGTAATAAGACCTTTGTATAGTACAAGTGTCTCTGAAATTTCAGACATATGTTGAGGGGTACTCGGGCATTATCCCAAAAAACTGTTGTTATATAAGTGGAAAAAAAAATATTTCTTAAGGCACTTAAGTTTTTTTAAAATTAAGAGGTGTAATAACATAAGTTGTACAGAATTATGTCATATTAAGTTGAGACTAATAATTTACCTATTCTTTATTTTAGTTATATTGTTATGCTATATCAAGTGGCTTGTTTAGAGTCTGTATAATTAGAAATTATATTCACCATGTCACAGGGAATAGTCTTGAATTGTGCCATCCATGCAAGCAAACTATCTCTTGGATTTACATGATGGCTAACCTTTCTGAATTATGAGTAACCTTATCAGAATTTAATAGGTGGATTTGGTCAATATATCAATATTAACCTAAATAACATCAAATTTCCAGAGTCTATAGCAATCCTATCATGAAAGTCATAACAAATACGCTCCTACTTCCACTTAAATATAAGCATCCTCTGAGTCATCCCATTTGAATTTTGATGTTCATACTTGACCTGTCGATAATTCAAGCGCCGAGACAAATGTTCTACGATGTCCTTGTTCATCCTACAACACTAATATTGTTGCTACAAATTAAGGTACATCTTGCATCCTAGATAGATAGAATATTTAGAACTATGAGTTTTCTCTATGATCTCTGGTAAAATCACAAATTCTATGAATACGAACATATCCTTTGATCCCCAAGGAGCACTATAGATCCATTTAATACCATTTTTTTACATTACCAACGTGACGTAAAATTGAGATGATCAATTATTCAATCAACTAATTATGTGTATTGATTATGAGTGAGTAAAATAGTTATTCGCAAAAGAAGACTAATTACGACAATACAATAATTAATCGTGAATGATCTTAATTTGTAAAGTGAGATACATACTTTATTAAACACATGTTTTTTTATATAAATTAATAAATATTCCTAACATAATTTATGATTGATTTATTATAAAACACAAGTAACTTTAACTCTTTTTCAGCTTATTAATGATTTGTCTCGATTAGATGACATTGAATTTCAATGGAAAATCTTAAGGAGCTTGAGTGTTGATTTTTTAGTCTTTTGAAGAAGTTTTTGAGTAGAATTGCATATTAAAAACTCAAGGTTAAAGACATCTACATATGTTTATCACCACTACATCCCATGTGTACCATATATATTTGTTTAGTCGATTATAATCTCTATAATATAAAGACTTATATACATGATATACAATGTGTTATATGCATGTGAACAATGTTGTCCATGAAAATGACACTTCTATAACATGATGCACACACACTGCAGACACATTTTTGACGCGTTATTATTTTGTAATTTTGAACAGTAATTATATAGACGTCGGTTATACTAGGGAATTGGCTGTAAAGTGTCATTTCGTTTTGAGTTTATGTTGACAAACCTATAATATATTTGGTAAAAAGTATGTCCATATCAGTTGGAGGCTTGTTCCGTTCTTTAAAAATATCGAATTTTGAAAAGAATTTTTTACCCAACACTATTTAATAGTGTATTTTAAAGATATATATGTGTCCATGTGAATATTATAAATGTTGCAACATTATAAATAGTAACGTATTCACGTGATCATATATATACCTTTAAAAGAATATAGAGGCTAAAAGGTCCTTCATAATATTTGGTATCGTCACAATAATTTCAATCAAAATTAGAGTATATTTTTAGATCCCCATATATATATATATATATATATATATATAACAGTCAATATCCCATATCTTTTAGATTGAGAGTTAACATACTTGGACTTTAGCAAAGATATTTGTAACATTGGCCTCTACTAGAAGACACAATAGAAGAGTTGTAGACAGGCTGGGCTGTCCAACGACATATTTGTAATGGTCCACTTAACATTTGCTTTGCATTATAGTTATACTGCCTTTTGCTCATGTGTTCTTAGTAGCCACTGGCCAGTAGGCTTTGCGAAGTTATACATGAACTTCACTTGAAAAAAAAAAGTAAATTAAATTGGTGAATTGATCAATTTAAATGCTTCTCCAATTAAAAAGATTTCCATTATTTCATCAATGTTGTCTATAAGGATGCTGATGGTCAAACTTTGTATTTGCACCAACGGTCAAATCATATTTCCTCATCTGATGTTCCCTCTGCACTTTCACTGTTTTTTTTTTTTACTTTATTTTATTTAAAATTTCTGTAAGATTTACAAGAAACAGTAAGTGAGAAATATTTGGGAAATTTTCTGTATATCCATTTCTTCTTGCAAGCTTGTATATATACAACTATTATGAAAATCAAGAACCTTCTATTCCTAACAAACTGTACAGTTGTCCTAGTTCTATTTGTTTAAAAATCTAATAAACTTTTATTCTCTACAAAATCTGATAAGGGTATAAAAAATGAATCTAGGTAGCATAAAATTAGGTATATACAAATGTTAAGAAAGCATAAGGATTTCATATCTTTGGGCCTATGTTTGGGCCTTCATTTCCGTTTGCATTCCATTTCTGTTTCTGAGCCCCAAGGACCAACTTTGCATTCCTGTTTTGGCCCAACATTTTCGGAGACCCAACATCCTTGCTGAAGTGATTTGAAACGATGCTCCTAGTGTGATCTGAAACGATTGGATCTATTCGATGTTTCCCAAGATGACTTTTACTCTTACCTTTCTCTTCATCTTCTTCCTCTTCATCTTCCTTATCTTCATTTCTAAACTTCTTACTTTTCTCCTCGTCTTCATTTCTGATTTTTTCAACATCCCCTCTCAAGTTGGAGGTGAACAAAGTGAGGCCCAACTTGGTCATATTGTGAAGATGAGAAGGTCCGACAAGTGGCTTAGTAAATATGTCGGCCAGTTGATCTCTGGAAGAGACGAAGGAAAGGGAAATCAGGTCGGCAAGGTACTAATGACGAACAAAATGGCAGTCAAGCTCGACGTGTTTTGTACACTCGTGGAACACAGGGTTTCGAGCGATGTGGATTGTTGTTTGTCTATCAGAGTGAATCGGTACTGGCAAAGGAGGAGGAATCGACAGATCTGTAAGTAGATGAGTAAGTCAAGTTAATTCAGCAACCAATCTTCTCATTGAACGATATTCTGCCTCTGCAGATGACAATGACACTGAACTTTGTTTCTTTGATTTCCAGGAAATGGGAGATCGACCTAAGCTGATAAAAAAACCACTAACAGATCGACGAGAGTCACAACAAGATGCCCAGTCAGCATCGCAGTAAGTGGTTAAAGATAAACCAGGGGAAGCCGTAAAGAAAAGGCCATAGCTTGGAAATCTTTTCAGGTAACGCATTATTCTTAAACCAACAGAGTAGTGAATAGATGTTGGTTTGTGCATAAATTGGCAGAGAGTTAATACATCAAAAGATAGGTCAGGTCTAGTGTGGGTTAAATAATTGATCTTTCCAATTAGATGACGATAAATTGTTGGATCTGACAGGGGGAGGTCCTGAATTTGCAGAAAGCTTGATAGAAGAATCCATAGGAGAAGATACTGCAGAGATATGAGAGACATAAAACTCGTCCAAGAGCTCTAAGGTATATTTCCTTTGTGTGATAATCATTCCTTGTTCTTCTCTTAGCACTTCCATACCCAATGTAGAAGTCCAAGATCCTTGATTTTGAATTCCTTGTGTAAGAAAGCTTTTAGAATCTGGATTTCATCTGTAGCATTCCCTGTGATTAAGATGTCATCAACATACACAGCCACAATTGAAATATAATTGCCACATTGTTTAAAAAACAGTGAGTAATCATTTAACGAAGCCATATATCCTTTGAAACTGAAAGCTCTTGCCAATCGGGCATATCACTGTCTAGAGGCTAGCTTAAGCCCATAGAGTGATTTTCTTAATTTACATACCATATTAGGATGAGGAGGATCTAAACCATTTGGAAATTTCATGTACACTTCTTCTTGCAAATCTCCTTGCAAGAAGGCATTGTTCACATCAAATTGATAGACATCTCAAGCTTTCTTAGTGGCAATATCTAATAGGCATCTAATTGTAGTCATCTTTACCACCGGAGAAAAAGTTTCATCATAATCTATCTTCTTTCTGTATATCCCCTTTTACAACCAGCCTTGCTTTTCATCTTTCAATTTTTCCATTTGCATGTTGCTTGACCTTGTAAACCCATTTACAAGGTAGAGCCTTTCTTCCTTTGGGTAAAATGACAGCATCCCAAGTATGGTTAGATTTCAAGGCTTCAATTTCATTTTGCATGGCCCTCTGCCAACTTGCATGTTTACAAGCCTCATAGAAACTGTTAGGCTCTGAAATGGTGGAAGTGAATTGTAGAGTGACTTGACTGGATTTTGATAGATTAGCAAAAGAGAAACTAGAAGGACTATTAGGAGGAGCAAAACAAGAATCTGTAATATTGCTAAGATAAATGGTGTTACAGATGTAATCTTGTAGATGAGATGGCAAAGTTCCAATATTAGTTCTACTAGATCTTCTAACAGGGATTGGAGATTGTGATATAGGAGGTTGAGAAGGTTGAGAAGGGAGAGCTGATTGTTCTGATTCATTCTCCAAACAAGATGAATGTTCAGGAACATTTGATGAGAGATCAGAGTGAAGAACTTTAGGAAGGTTAGGATCCACAGGTTCTGAACTAGTGTGATCAATAGGGTCATGAGAAATAAATATGGACTCATCTGATTGTGAATGTGAAAAAGGAAAATGGTTTTCAACAAAATGAACATCTCTAGAAACAAAAACTTTCTTAGATTCCAAATCAAGTAATTTGTACCCTTTTTTATTATTAGGATAGCCTATGAAAACACATTTCTTGTCTCTAGGATCAAATTTATTCCTTCCATGAGCTAGAGTGCTTGCATAGCATAAACAACCAAAACATCTGAGAAAATGATAAGAGGGTGACTTGCCAAATAGAATTTCATAAGGTGTTTTTCCTTGAATTACTCTAGATGGTAGCATGTTGATTAAGAAGGTGGTTGTCAAAATACATTCCCCCCAATAGGGTAGAGTTACCTTTGAATGAAACAGTAGAGCCCTTGCTATTTCCAAAAGATGTCTATGTTTTCTTTCTGCCACTCCATTCTGTTGTGAGGTAGCTACACATGAAGTTTGATGAATAATTCCTTGAGAATCCAAGAATTTTGAGGCAACATCACTTTTCCCTAACTCCATAGCATTGTCAGATATGATCACTTTTACTTCGGTATTAAATTGTCTTTCAATCATGCATAGGAACTTCTGTATCACAGTGAATGCATTACATTTAGTACTCATCAGATATGTCCATGTGGCTCTGTTGTAGTCATCTACTATAGTCAAGAAATACCTATAATTGTTATAGGTAGATACTTTGTATGGTCCCCAAGTGTCAATGTGAATTAGATCAAAACATTTATTGGTAGTGATTTTATTTGTAGAGAAAGGTAATCTAGATTGTCTAGCTTTAGGACAAATTTCACAGTGACAATTAGACTGTTGAGGAAAAGATAAGAAACTGATATTCTTCATTGATGTATAGGGTAAGTGCCCCAACCTTACATGTCATAACCTTACATTTGAAGAAGCATTTGAACAAATAGGAAAAGGTACTGAAATTGAATCAGGAAAGCAAACAGAACTACTGATTCTACTACAGATTTTAGACTCTAAAGAAATATTTGAATTGCACTAGGCTTCTTAGGAAAAGGTTGTAACAAATAGAGACCCTCTCTTGATTCACCAAAAGCTTGAGGCCTCTTCATTCAATGGCCCTGCAACATACAGTTGTTAGAATTGAAAAGAACTGTATAACCATATTGATTACTGAACTTATGTATAGATAAGAGATTGTATTTAAAACTTGGCACATACAAGACATTATGTAATGTCAAGTCAGAGAATATTTGAACACTTCCTATATGAGTAACAGTTATGAAATGAGAATAAGGAAGATTTATGTTGATAGGAATCCTAAGAGTAGATAAAGTGATAAATGACTCAGAATTGAAACACATGTGTTCAAAAGCCCCTGAATCTATGATCCAAGTTTCAAAATTAAAAACAGAAAAACAAGTTCGAAAATACTTCAAAATTGTACCAGCCACTGCATTGACATTAATTTCAGGTCCAGCATTCTTTGGTGCTGATTCAGGCAATTTCATCTGCTTCATTACTTGAATAAACTGGGCAAATTGTTCCTTGCTCATATGCAGTCTGGCTTGTTCTATGTAGTAGTTAGGTTCATCTTGCTCCATGATAGCTCCATTTCCCCTCACTGGTGTTGAACAGGTTTTGTCATTTGTGAAGTTAAAATCCTCAGGAAATCCTATTAGTCTGTAACAATCATCTATGACATGAACTGTTTTACCACAATGATCACAAGAAACATTAGGATTATATTTCTTCTTTCCTTTGAACCTTAGATTCTGTCTTGGATATCTAGGAGTCTGCTGTCCCTGTTGATAGTTGTTCATCTTAGGATACCCCATGTTTGGCTTAGCTCCAGATCCTGATGCAGCTGGGTTGGATTTTTGAAATTGCTTACCATTTTTGTTTTGATTTGCACTGCTATTAACCATGAAAGATGAGGAGTCAGAATTGCTAATAGGACTCATGTATGTTTCCTTCTGATTCTCATCCTGTAAGATCAACGAATAAGCAACATTTATGTTAGGTAAAGGATTCATCATAAGGATATTACCTCTAGCTTGAGCATATGTGTCATTAAGACCCATAAGGAATTGTATGAGCATCTCATCCTCGACAGATTTCTCCATTTTCTGTTTTCCTTCACAGATGCATACACAGGTACACTTATCTTGTGAATCCAGAGAAGCTAATTCATCCCAAAGCCTCTTGAGCTTAGTAAAATACCCTGCAATGTTGTTAGTTCCCTGTACCAACCTGTTAAGTTCTTTCTTCAAATGAAAAAGTTTAGCACCATTTGATTGACCAAACCTGTGTTCCAGACTCATCCAGAGTTCTTTAGCAGTCCTAAAGTATATAACACTATCGGCTATTTCTTTTGAAAGGGAGTTAAGAATCCAAGATGTTACCATGTCATTACACCTACTCCCAGGTTGCAGATCTGTTGATGTTGGAGCTGGTGAAGGATGTTCTCCAGTGATGAAACCCAACTTGTTCTTTGCAAAGAGTGCTATAAGTACTAATCTCTTCCATCCCTGATAACCTCTTCCATCAAAGGTGCTGCTTACCAAACCCATTCCAGGAGAATCCGAAGAAAGCAGATAGAATGCATGATTGACATCAATTTTAGCTCCTATGGAAAATCGTGCTACCTAAGTTGCAGGCGTAGATTCAGGAACATTGAAAGCTTCGTTAGTCATGATTGTATTTGATTATATGATTTGATTTACTGCTCTGATACCATGTAAGATTTACAAGAAACAGTAAGTGAGAAATATTTGGGAAATTTTCTGTATATCCATTTCTTCTTGCAAGCTTGTATATATACAACTATTATGAAAATCAAGAACCTTCTATTCCTAAAAAACTATACAACTGTCCTAGTTCTATTTGTTTAAAAATCTATCGAACTAATTCTCTACAAAATCTGATAAGGGTAAAAAAAAAATCTAGGTAGTATAAAATTAGGTATATACAAATGTTAAGAAAGCATAAGGATTTCACATCTTTGGGCCTATGTTTGGGCCTTCATTTCCGTTTGCATTCAATTTATGTTTCTGAGACCCAAGGCCCAACTTTGCATTCTTGTTTTGGCCCAATATTTCGAAGGCCCAACATCCTTGCTGAAGTGATTTGAAACGATGCTCCTCGTGTGATCTGAAACGATTGGATCTTTTCAATGTTTACCAAGATGACTTTTACTCTTACCTTTTTCTTCATCTTCTTCCTCTTCATCTTCCTTATCTTCATTTCTGAACTTCTTACTTTCCTCCTCGTCTTCATTTCTAATTTTTTCAACAATTTCACTATTATTGGTTGATTAATTGAACTTTAATTTCGTTAGTAAAAATTGATTCTCACCTTATAATCTACTCTTTCATGATGAAATTCTCAAAAATTTGATAGTCTCTCCGTTTCAGATTGTTTGACTATTTTTCTTTTAATCTATTTTAAAAAAATAATCATTCACTTTTTATTTATTATTTTATTTTAATTTTTCTTATAGCATGTTTAATACCACAAGATTAACGATGTTTCATACATCTGACATACTCCTTCCATTTCTATTCGATGAACATCTTAAATAACGTATTGTTCCATATTCCTTAATCACTATAGAATTAATTATTCTTTTTCTCGTTTTACCCCAATAAATAATATGTCATTCTGACTGTGAACAATTTTCAATACTAGCTATTCTTATATTCTTATGTATTTTTTTTCTTATTTATTTTTATGTGTGTTAATATAAATAAAAGATAAAATAATAAAATTACTTAATTTATTAATAATTTCTTATCATCAGGTAAATTAAAAAAGACAATTAAAGTATCTTTTATTTAAAATAATAAATTTTATTAATCTTTATAAATACAACGTAAAATTAATATACGGTCGAACAAATAAATGAAGTGAGTGTATGTTATTGACTTGTCTTTGTGGATTATAAACAAAGATTTTGGTATTCTAATTCCCGTGGAAAGTAGATCACATTCACATTTACAAGTTGCACACAAAGCAAAGCATTAACACATGGCTAATTTGACAATAAATGTGAAATTTCTTCACTCTTTCTGATTTCCTTTTTTACTTTTTCCTCAATATTATATCATACCTCACTACTTTTCAAAACAACATTAACTACAAGCAACCGGAA